AGTAGCGGGATAGAAGCACAAATACCAAACTGAAGATAACACAATGACATAATTAACTCTTGCACAAAATATACACATCATGTTCTCTCTAAGCATTGAACTCTTGTGTAATGAAACCAGCTATCGTGCCTTTTGTTTATTCACGTATAACAACAAACGAAACGGGCCCGCACATGGACTTCACTCTCTTGTCAGTGGCTTCCTTAAATAAGGCACATTAGGCAGAATTTGTTCAACGTTCAGTTTGTCACGAATGAGGTCCCAGGTTGGTGTGTCCCAAATGTTTCACGTTCACCTCACGAGATGTCACTCAATCACTAGCTGATGAGTTGTTGCCTCTTCGATGCTGACCATCAGATCCGCTAGCCAGGGGGAAAACGGTTCCTCCTTTGAAATATTTGAGGGCATTAGTGGAAAAGAGATTTAATTAAGGGCCATATTTTTTTTTTAAGTCAAGACAGCTTTGCTTAAAATTATACTCACAGCTATTAAATTCTTCTTAGAGCGTTCCCTTGGCTTCGGGACTGGCTGTTTAGATCTTCTCGGTTTCTGCCACTTAATCTTGGAGGCCTTGAAGCAAAAATAAACTAGTCTTTTTTTCAGATTTTTTAAAATTATTATTATTTATTTAAATAGAAGCAAATAGTAAATACTCAGTAACACCTACCTTTATTTTCACCTTACTGCTATTGGATCTCCTTACATTTGTAAATTTCAGCTGTCCTGGTGTTGTAGCTTCACCACGTAGATGAAAAGAAAGCGTGCTCACATCAGACACGGAAAAGCTCTCGGTTCCTTCGTGTGGATGGTTTGAAAACTGGCTCAGGGAACGAGACAGCCTCCCAGGTCTCAGAACCCTCAGTTGAGCAGCATCGTCATCTTTATCGCTCTCATCTTCTGCCAGCGCATCCTCTTCCTCCACACCTACTTGAAATGGAAAATCGCCCTCATTTCCTTCTCTTGTTCTGTTCCCTTCAGTTTCATCCTCAAGCTCTGACTCTTCCTGGATGGGCTCCAGACCAGGTCTCTGTTCCATCAAAAAGCCTATTTACTCATGACATTTACCATTTTTATCATTTGATTTACTTTATTCAAAGAATAGTGATAACAGATTAGGCTTACATTTGGCTGTTGAATGTCCATTTAGCTGGATGACTGAGCTTTTTGGAACCAGAGTAAAGACACTGCAGTCTCTGGTGTGAGTGTGGCCTCCTTGTCATCAGTTGATTATTGAAATCAGGTGCAGAGGCTTAACATTTTTCACAGATGTTTTGACAGGTCATTGCAGGTGCATGAGAAAATTACTTGCATTGCCTAATTTTACAATATACATGCAAAATAAAGCAATGCAGCTTAAAGTCACTCAGCTTATTGTGACTATTATTGTGACAGCAATGTTAATTTTGCACCATTTTACACCATTTACCATTTACGGGGCGATCGTGGCTCAAGAGTTGGAAGTTCGCCTTGTAATCGCCTTGTAATAGGAAGATTGCTGGTTCGAGCCCTGGCTTGGACAGCCTCGGTCGTTGTGTCCTTGGGCAAGACACTTCACCCGTTGCCTACTGGTGGTGGTCAGAGGGCCCCGGTGGCGCCAGTGTCCGGCAGCCTCGCCTCTGTCAGTGCGCCCCAGGGTGGCTGAGGCTACAATGTAGCTTGCCATCACCAGTGTGTGAATGTGTGTGTGAATCGGTGGATGGCTGGATATGTAAAGTGCTTTGGGGTCCTTAGGGACTAGTAAAGCGCTATACAAATACATTTAAAAATTAATTAATTCCAATTGGCTAAAAAAAGAAACTAATAAGCATTCTTGAGGTTAGTGCACAGTAAAAGGTACTAAGTAAAATATATAGCAAATGCCTTAGTCTAACATCGTATCAAATGACTTCCAATTACTTAGTCTGATTAGTGAATACTTTCAGGTATATATCAGTTGTAAACTTATAGCATCAGTGAAATCATTAACTTCAGACTTTTCCATCATGTCACATATTAATAGGTATCAAAGCAAAAAAGGTCATATATCAATATGTTACAGCATTGTTCAGGAATGAAGATTTTGATCTATGTATTAAAATATCAATAAATAAAATAATAATTCTGTGTTGTGTATATAACCCAGAATGTGGAGTTATTGGTTAAGGTCCAATAGACTTAACCACAGTAATTTAATAAATATACAGGCAGAAGGCAGACAGTGTGCAAGATTTCCATTTGGTTGCCAACACATCAAAAATTAAATTTGTTTGACTATCATGGATTTCTGCATCTCTATAGACTACTGATGAGGAGAGAATGAATGCATATAAACTGTGGTCAAAATTCATTTTGAAGTAGAAATGTGTTACAAATGCTCTCTTTTTTTCTTAATACAGACTAGCAAATTGTATTTTCTTTGTTCACAGAAAAATGTTTACATAAATCATTAATTTATGGATATATATAATAATATATAATATATATATATATATATATATATATATATATATACATATATATATATATATATATATATAATATATATATATATATAATATTTTAATATATATATATATAATATTTTATAAAAAAATAATATATTATTATATATATATATATATATATATATATATATAAACACCCAGCACGCCCCTGCGGGCGGTTTATCCTTCAAGCTCGGGTCCTCTACCAGAGGCCTGGGAGCTTGAGGGTCCTGCGCAGTATCTTAGCTGTTCCCAGGACTGCGCTCTTCTGGACAGAGATCTCCGATGTTATTCCCGGGATCTGCTGGAGCCACTCGCCTAGCTTGGGAGTCACCGCACCTAGTGCTCCGATTACCACGGGGACCACCGTTACCTTCACCCTCCACATCCTCTCGAGCTCTTCTCTGAGCCCTTGGTATTTCTCCAGCTTCTCGTGTTCCTTCTTCCTGATATTGCTGTCATTCGGAACCGCTACATCGATCACTACGGCCGTCTTCTTCTGTTTGTCTACCACCACTATGTCCGGTTGGTTAGCCACCACCATTTTGTCCGTCTGTATCTGGAAGTCCCACAGGATCTTAGCTCGGTCATTCTCCACCACCCTTGGGGGCATCTCCCATTTTGACCTCGGGACTTCCAGGTTATACTCGGCACAGATGTTCCTGTACACTATGCCGGCCACTTGGTTTGGCGTTCCATGTATGCCTTGCCTGCTAGCATCTTGCACCCTGCTGTTATGTGCTGGATTGTCTCTGGGGCATCTTTACACAGCCTGCACCTGGGGTCTTGCCTGGTGTGATAGACCCCAGCCTCTATGGATCTTGTACTCAGAGCTTGTTCTTGTGCTGCCATGATTAGTGCCTCTGTGCTGTCTTTCAGTCCAGCTTTGTCCAGCCACTGGTAGGATTTCTGGATATCAGCCACCTCCTCTATCTGCCGGTGGTACATACCGTGCAGGGGCCTGTCCTTCCATGATGGTTCCTCGTCTCCCTCCTCTTTCTTGGGTTTCTGCTGCCTGAGGTATTCACTGAGCACTCGGTCAGTTGGGGCCATCTTCCCAATGTATTCTTGGATGTTCGTTGTCTCATCCTGGACTGTGGTGCTGACACTCACCAGTCCCCGGCCCCCTTCCTTCCGCTTAGCGTACAGCCTCAGGGTGCTGGACTTGGGGTGAAACCCTCCATGCATGGTAAGGAGCTTTCTTGTCTTTATGTCAGTGGCTTCTATCTCCTCCTTTGGCCAGCCTATTACCCCAGCAGGGTACCTGATCACGGGCAGGGCGTACGTGTTGATGGCCCGGATCTTGTTCTTACCATTCAGCTGACTCCTCAGGACTTGCCTGACCCTCTGCAGGTACTTGGTGGTTGCAGCTTTCTAGCGGCCTCTTCATGGTTCCCATTCGCCTGCGGGATCCCCAGGTACTTGTAACTGTCCTCTATGTCTGCAATGTTGCCTTCTGGTAGTTCAATCCCCTCAGTTCTGACTACCTTCCCTCTCTTTGTTACCATCCGACTACACTTCTCCAGTCCGAACGACATTCCAATGTCATTGCTGTATAGCCTGGTAGTGTGGATCAGTGAATCGATGTCTCGTTCACTCTTGGCATACAGCTTGATGTCATCCATGTACAGGAGGTGGCTGACAACTGCTCCGTTCCGTAGTCGGTATCCGTAGCCAGTCTTGTTAATGATCTCACTGAGGGGGTTCAGGCCTATGCAGAACAGCAGTGGGGACAGAGCATCTCCTTGGTAGATCCCGCACTTGATGGTGACTTGTCTATGGGCTTGGAGTTCTCTATATATTATATATATATATTATATTATATATATATATATATATATATATATATATATATATATAAAATATAAATTATATTGTTATATAAGATATAATCAAGTTACATTTTCTTGTTTGTGACATATGCTATTTGTCTTTATGTAATTCCAACCATTCAGGAGTGCAACAACCAAATTACTCATTTCAATCCCCTTTGGCCCTGATGACACCATGACGAGACTTGCTCCTTAACTATTATTTGCAGTAGTTTCCCTTTACTGTTTGAGCTCGACTTCAATTAGAGTGAAGGTGACATGAACTTAAAAGCTCAATGATATCACCCCTTTTAGTAAATGAAGAACTTCATCAAGGTAAATCAACATAAAACTACATAAACGAAGCATTGTTTCCTCTCTCCAAGCCCATAAAAGAGCTAAATAGGTGAGCAAATGAAGTGTTTGTTGACTTAACTGTTACACTGAGTGAACCTTAAACAAACTTTACATCAGTACCAGGAAAACAGTTTTGGCCCCTGCCCCGTGTTTGACACATGATGACATCCATCTAGCCGTGGGCTGTCAAAGTACATTGACCGACATGATAAACATGTTATTGTTTTAAATAGTTTCCTGTTGAGAAAGAAAACTTTTACAGCGAAAGTGATTAAATAATGTCTGAGAAAATAAAAATAAAAAAGGTGATCTTTCACATTTGTAGCCAAAACTCAAGAAACTACTTTCTTTATCATAGTGATACTGATGATATTTTATACACCAATATTGTCTTTATTACAAAATATTCAATAACCCAACTTTACACTGTACAAGATACAACATAGTTTACAACTTTTGACTATTTACAAAAAGTATGATCTGCATATCAAAGTGAATATATCTAAAAAGGCAAGTTGCAATCACTGTAAGCTTATTGAGTAAGGCAAGAACTTGAAACGTGATGTATTTACACTTTTGCAGATCGAGTGAAAGTTCTATGTGCTGATAAAGATACAGGCTATAAAGATAATCTGAAGCGCATCATGTTTCTGCCAGTATATCTGAGAGATGTGCTAAAGCTAAAATTTCTCGAGGAAAACTCAAAAATGTAGCTGCTAGATAACAAAAAGCAATAGTACAGTAATGTGTATGCCTGAAAGACGACAGCAGCGAGACACTGCAGGAAATCTTCTGTGGCCTCAAGGAAATGTTTGAAAGTACTTACAGCATTTGAAATGTTTAGGCTAAAGGAGTTAGTCATGCATTTGTGGAAGTCATGTGCTTATAGTATATGCTCTCTTCTGTGTGGATGAATGCCATTCTTAACTCCTTTAGATATCTGTATGTAAGGATGCGTGGGCCCTCTGTGTGATGTTCTACAATACTCCATCGCTGGTCCCATTTTGGCATAAACTAGCATCCATAGAAGCACAAATCCAACTCAGTATGACTTCTGTTTAGGTTTGTTAACCTTTGTCTTTTCCTCGTATTATCTTTTTGCCTCCTCATCAACAAAGCTGCCCCTATCTGTGTATTATGTGTACATGCCATATTGCACTACAATACAAAAGAATGTCATGTATTAAGGAAAACTGATTTTGTCTTTCCAGGGTTTAAAACACACCTTTGTCTTCTACCAGTGATCGAGCATGTGGTAAACATCTACTGCAACTTTCTCTCTCATCTTTGTTGAGGCAATATAAGTATCGCTAGTGATCTATGGAAAGCTCGGTACTTTGGTTTTCTTTCAACAGGAGTATCATTACTATGGCTGTCAACTTTTAAAAAGTCATGCACTATTAATTGTAAATATGTATCATAAAAAGCATATTTCATCCAGTGAGCTCCAAGTAAAAAAAAGAAAAAGAAAAGAGACTGTTTTGTGCTGTTTTGTTACAATTAAGAATTGACCACACATGCATACGCACACTCACAAGTACACACTTGCATGCTTACATACACCAAAAAGAAACAACACCATTTTACGCTAAATAACGCAATGAATCCTTGGCATAATAAGAAAGACAGTGCAAAAGCAATAGCATGATCAGTCTCTTTCTGGATATCAACGCACATATCCCCCGAACACGGAATATGTACAACATAGTAAAAAATAAATATGCTCATTATACCTGGATCTGATGGAACCCAACAAAACCACACATCTAATCATCTGTTACAGAGATGTTAAAAGAGGATTTGAGATTCCGGGTACCCGTCTCTGCACTCTGCATTTTGTCTCTGAAAAGTGGCAAGCAGTTAAAAATCCCTAAAGCAAGTATGATTATCCATACAATGACTTCATATTTCTGGAAGTTCACATCCTGAATGGGTGTATCCTGGGTTGTGCCAGTACAGACTAGACGCTTCTAGTCCTCCAACCAGGTTTTCTTGCTTTATTTAAGATGAATATATTTTCTTTCTTCCTACACTGACACATCTGCAGCAGCTGCCACCGTCTCAATTTCAATCTCTGTCACCTCTACAGCCCTCTCTTCATCAACCTTACCCACTGCGGGCACACAGGATGAGGGTTGGCATGCGGCTTGGCTGTTGCTGCTGCTGTTGGCAGTGTTCATCTGCATGTTGCTACCCATGCCGGGATGAGCAGTGAGGCTGGCAGCAGAGGACACGCTGGCCAGATTGGTCGGGACGCTCGTCTTTCCACAGGAGTGGATCCGACGTGCCAGGCTGGCGGAACGCATCACCGAAGAAGTGGTTGCAGTGCCCACTCCCTGAACCTTCCCTTCCAGGAAGTAGGTCAGCATCTCACCTTTGCCTTTTACACTGACCTTGCCGCGGCAAACCAGGTCATAGTTGGTATTCAGTAGCCGATAAACCTCCTCAGTCACCTGGATAATAGAGGCATAGGAAATATAGATATTTGTTATTGTAAGTGTTGGTAGATGTGACAGCGGAGCTTGGCAAGCTGTTTACACTTGACTCCATCATATTTGTGGATCATTTGTAATTGAAAACAAGTACCTGTATTTTCCCAGGTACTCCAGTGCTGTCCATTCGACTGGCCACATTGACCGTGTTACCCCAGATATCGTACTGAGGTCGCCGTGCTCCAATCACCCCTGCAACCACTGGACCCACATTGATTCCTGTGCACAGACATAAAAACATTAAACTAAAACAGAGTCATTGAAAGTCAGTCACATTTAAATTGTCTTTGCCAGGGAACCAAAACAGTTCAATTTTATTTATATAGCATCAAATCCGACCCAACAGTCCAACAAGGTGGTTTATATTGTATGTCTACTTACCAACTCTCAGGACAAACTCGTTGTATGACTGATAATTGATTTCATCCAAAACATCAAACATTTCAATGGCGTAGTCTGCTATGGTGCTCAGATGGTCGTACACAGATTTCTTGTTCTACAGAGGGAAAGAGCACCAAGCAGTTAGTGTACATGTGAGAAAGGATCCTTCATATTCCCTTTAAAGACTAGGACAGAAGATAAACACATAAATAAAAAGGAAAATCCAAACCTTGGTCCCAATGGTGGGGACGAGTCCCACAGCTGCCATGTATGTGCTGCCAATGGTTTTGATTTTCTCTATGTCTTTGTAGCACTCCTTATCCATGAGCTGTGAAGCACACATTCAATAAACACCTGACACTACAAGGCAAAAACAATTCCAAATTTACAAAGTAAAGAAATAAAAAAATACTAAGACCTCGTCAAAGTCAGCAATGATCTCGTTCAGTAGCCTCAAGCATTCCACTCCCATGTTGTTACCATCCAGCTCGATGTAGAAATCGTTGAAGTTTGGGATTGAGGCAAATAGGACGCCAACTTGTGCGTAGGACTGATAGTACAGATCCTAAAGGAAAAGATAAACAATACAGTAAAAAATATTCTTAGATGTGATCATTAGTCATTTCTGGTTTCAGCCTTTTTATCTACCTGTTTGTCTGTCTGCCTGCCTGCCTGTCTATTATCGTGGCTCACCATGTTTCTTGGGTTTGACATTAAGAAGTGTTGAGCCACGTGTGCAGGCAGCAGATTGAAGAGGATCCTCCTGTTGTCCAGCTTTACTTTCTCCATTCCATCTCTTTCCTCCTCCGCCTGGCAGGAAAAGTAGCACACAAAATATCCAGATATAGCTGTGAGAACCAAAGCTTGCTTCATATTTCCACCACATGGTGTCACTAAAATGACTTGTGAGCATCAGACTGCTGTAAGCGTCAGAGTATGATTAATAGACTTGGGTACATTACATGACTAATCCTGCTAGTTAAAGGGTTAAATGGCTTAAATTCAGCTTCAACACTTCTATCCCCCTATGCAAAACGCTCAGTGCCAAATGAAACCGAGCCAGAAGAAGCTTCTTACTCTTTTTTTGTTGCCAAGAACAGACATCTGGCAGCCTATAAATATACAACCTCATTTCCAAAAGAAGTTGGGTTGCGTTGTAAAAAGTAAAAAAACAAACCAAATAATTTTTTAAAAATCCAATTGCAATGATTCAATAATCATTTTAACGCAAGTTTTTTTTTGTTGTGTTTGATCAAACATGCACACAAACATTTGTTTGCTCATTTTAAATGTGATCCCTGCAACACCTTTAAACAAAAACTAGAAAAGGTTTTTCAGAGTTTACTTTGGAAGCATGGTTGCACATCCTCCAGAAATGTATATCCATAGCCTTTTTTCATATGCACAGAGATATCATTGCACACTTCCTGACCTGTACAGCCCATAGGAAGTCCAGACGTAGTTTGAGGTCAAGTTGCCTGGAGTGGAGGGCAAGGGCACTGACAAAGAGCAACAGAGACAGGATGGGCTCATAGCCCCGGATGTGGAAGGACCCCCCACTGCGGAAGAGACCAATTGCACAAGTCAGCACTGGACCAGACCACACAGAAAACTACACAGGAGGGTTGAATGGACCCCCCACAGCGTCGGGAGTGATCACAAGTAGAGTTACTTCACAAAAGTATGAAAGCAAGGGCTTTTTTAGAAGGACATGGAAACAAAGCAAGCAAAAAAAACAAAACAAAACAACTTTATTGTGCTTATAACGTATTCTGAAATCATGGAATATTACTATTAACTTGTGCATGATTAAATCTAAAAGTTTTTTTTTTTTTTTTCCAAAACTAATCCTTACCTTGACCTGAACAAATTCAGAATAATAATTTTTTTCAGTTGCACATTTGGGATCTGAGCTCTAATAAAATTGGCATGGTCCCTCAGTACTGGGTTGAAATAGCTAACGTGGTCCCATCATGCAGCCCACATTGTCCTTTTAGGCTTCTGATTTGGAACTAATAAGCATGTGTGCTGCTTCAAAGGGTGGAAAATGAAAGAGTGTGTGGGCTGAAGACAAGCAACAACTCCTCCACACACATACATCTCAGCACATGTACTGTAAATGCTCTTCCAACTCTTGCCTATCTGTTTATTACACAGCCAGGCATTACCTCTGATACCCGACTGACGCACATAATGCATGATGCATAACAACTGTGCGAGATCTCTCACTTCATTGTTGTCATATAACTTCAGGGAAAGTCAGGAATGTGTCTGAGCTTTCTGAATACGTCGTGGCGTGAACCTCTCACCCTGCAGTCTTGCGAAAGCCGCTGAGCTCCAACACGGTGAGATACAGCACCCCCAGAAGAAGCATTAGCGCCATCTTTGGCATCCAGGAGACGCGCAAGAAAAGTGCCAGGGTAAGTGTGCCCACCACACATGAGAGAAAGGCGTAGCGGGCGCCGTCACAAGGAAGTTCTGCCATGGTGTGGTTGGCGCCGCTATCCACATCAATGATGATGATGGAACTGTTTGTATTGGCACTACCCCACAGCCAGGGCATGCAGCCCACCTGTCAAAAGCAAACACAGCAATGCAAAGTGAGAAATATTTCTGGAGAAAGGCTTAATGCTCATCTACATTCACGGTCTGCCTTGTCTGCACATTTCATTAAAGAAAAAACAAAACACATGAGTTGAACAGCACTGTACAGCTGGATAGTGTAAGCTGTTTAAATACATAGCATGACCATAATTCAAACTTTGAATGCTTTCAGATTTATGTTATACATGACATATGTAAACACAGCAAAAATGTGATAATTAAATTATGATAACGCCACAATTTTAGCTTTATTAATTTCACAGTCAACTGCACATCATCTAAAGCAACACCTCTAAAATAATAATTAAACATATTTTTAAAATAAGCCCACTGGCACCGTTAAATCAGAGGGAACAGCAGCAGCTCAAAACACGGTGAGATTTTTCTTACTAGCTGGCTGGCCAGTCAGGTGGGTAGTTTGTGGCAGATGACACTTTTTTACTGTTGCATTTACACTTACCACACAGGCCTGGGCCACAGCGTAGATTAAGAGCACTATGAGAATACAGAGAGCAGTGCGAATCTGAATGGTCAGGCACCCTGGAAAACACTGACAGAAAAAAATATAGAGACTATTATATAAATACTGCCTAGAAGACAACACCAATATAATCTGTCAGAGTGTTAATAACTATAAGTACAGCTTGAGGAAGAACAAATGTTATGATGGACAAGAATTTTTTGGGTTTGAGGAAAGAAAAAGAGAGAAAAGACAAGCATGTGAGAAGCTACAACGCTTAAAAAAGCTTCTAAACTGGTCAAATTCTCGAAGAGCGATTTTAATTTAAATACAACACAGGGGCATAGATGTAACCTCAAAGCTAGTGGTTATTAAATTGTTCTTACATGGTTTCACAAAATACATTTATAATTTGTCTTTGGTCAGCAAAAACCTATACAGGAGAACATTTCCCTTGCCAGGTTTTCTAAACTGCAGATAACAGAAGGTAGATGCATCTGTGGTGTAGGTTAATGCTCTAATAAATGAAAAAAAAAAAGACCTTCACTTCAATAGGATAAGGAAAGCATCTGTAGTTACCTGTATTCTAGTGATATGGAGGTACATGATACAAGCTACAAGGAAACAGATGCAGAAGACGAGAAGAACTAGCACCACTGTGCCCCTGAGAGAAAAAAAAGGAGAGAGGGGAATGATGGGGTTAGTAAGACAGACTTCGGTATGTTAAAGAGGCAGCTGGAGAGATAAAATAATGGGAAGGAAAAAAAAAAGAAAAAGAAAGACAAAGAAGGGACCCACAGAAGCATTTTTGGTACATACTGTGGTATGATGAGAAGATAGACAAGGCCAAACAAAGCAGCTAGGATCAGGGAGAGGACCACTGCGCTGGTGAAGTACTCATCAGGCACCTGGTGGTACTGCACAATGGCAAAACCCAAAAAGAACGAGTAACCAAACAATAAAATGTGGAATTGTAACATGATTGAGCAACATCTCAGTGCAGTTTCCCTCACCCTGTGCTCACGCTCAGAGCATTTATACATGAGCGTGAGGAAGTTGAGGTCTGCCGTGTCAGACTCGGTCTGACGGGCTTCAATCAGCCGACCGATGTAGCGGTTGACCCGTGTTCTGGGGCTGCTCTGGATCACATTAGCCTGGTTAGCGTTGGAGCGGTTCCTCATTTTCTGTGGAGCCGTTCGCATGGCCCTCCGCTGGTGGAAAACAAAATGAAAAGAAATCTCCACTCACTTTACAATGCAGAGCTTAAACAACAATAGTTTGGTGAATACAGCACCCTGTATTCTCTGCAATGCCTGAGTATTATCATATTAGGAACAAGGGTGAATAAGAGTCAACAATAAACACAGGCAGCTGATTATACTTTCAAATTAGGACATTGCCTTCACACTTAACTTCATTACTGAAAGCACCCTGCTGTGTCCTCGGCAGCCAAAGTGAGCAGCTTAGCAAACACCTTGGGTATGTGTGTGTGTACGTGTAGGTGTGTTTGTTCATGTAAGTTAGCATGCTATCTGAACACAGCACAGTAGGTGATCAGAGCATGATCAAGGATCACCGGTGTTCACGAGCTCGTGACATGACATGGATGTGCTCAGCTCACGGATGTCACTGATTTCTTCTGCTTCGTTTCCTGTGCCACTGTCTCCTTTCTTTGTCTCTTCTCTAAGTGTATCCACTTGCTTACTTCTTATTTTCAACTTCAGTTTTTTTGTAATACCATCTTCTTACCTCACCTTGCTCTTACTCACTCATCGTATGTATATTCAGTCTTTATTTTTTCATATTTATTTCCTTATTTTCTTACCTGCTTCCATATATTCATTTCTGTTTATATCCCCTTCACCAGTCCAGTCTTTATATCTGGCCCATTTTCACTCCCCCCATTTCTTTTTGCATTCCCCACTCTCTTGTTTTGGTTTATTTATAAGGCAGAAACACAGTGGCCTGCAGATCCTGACGTCTCCTTATGTTCTATATTGTGCTCAGTGCAGCACGGGACACATCATGTAACTGTGTCTGCTGCACCAGCTATCCTATTCATTCATCCCTCGTCCCTCATATTGCTTGCATTCGTGTCTTGAATGCATACATCTTTTCACTGAGCACTAGTGTGTGTGGCCTGAATTTGAATTTACCATTCAGTGGAAGGTTTACTACAACTAAACTGCCCATGACAAAGGCCATAAGCTTTTACTGTTTTGTGTATTATGCTAATCTGCTTGTTGTCTCTGATGGGAGGATGCTGTGATTACCGTTAATGGGGAGACATATAATCATGCAGTGTGAGGTAAAGATTATTTGAACATCTTAAAAACTGAAACTTCCATAAATTTCTAGGAAAAAAGCCACTTGTAAAATATGTTACACACAAACCAACATTATTGTACCTTTAAGTTTATATATAAATTCTACACAACTTACTAACAGGAAAATATGTACAACAGACACACAAACACACACACACGGACCCAGGAAACTCCTTGTTTAAGCAGTAGGTGCAAAAATTTACAGACATATAAGGTTAAATAACAAAACACTTCTTCTAACAGTTAGCCATATTAACCCTCTCAAGGCAGGCGTTGCAGAGTTGCAACAGTTAAAAGCTAACAACCTGATTACCCCACATACATATTTTATGAGTTTTTTTTACTCAGAAGTACCACTGCAGGTATTCTTTTGTGCATTAGCAACAAAAACTTAATTTGAGCCTGAAAGGGTTAACAGGCTCATTGACATTTCTGCCAAGACCAACATACTGACTGGATAGGGACCTTTAAAAAAGGACGCTCCATTACCCCTTTTCCTATGACACAGAACACACAAGCCTAATTTTTTCACCAGGTTTTCACTCAGTGTTGCGTCTATTCGGAAATCACAGTAAGAACAAACACAGAAACGTCAACACAGACACTGAGAGTTTATACCTTATCACCGTCCTCGCAGTTCATGACATTGGAGAAGGGAATCTCAGCCTTGAACATCTTCCTGCAGTGCATAAGCTGCACTAGTAAGTAGCACACAGTTTTGAACTTCATCTTTTTGGCGGGCTTTATATCCGAAAGAATCAATCCTGGGAATATCTGCCACCAGATAAGAAATGGGAACAAGTATTTAGTCATGATATCCCATACAGTAATATATATTATGTAAGGGTCTATAATTCATGCACAGGCACTATGGACTTGACACATGCATCCAGTCATTATTATCATGCTCATGCTCAACAATGCAGTTAAAATAAGGTACATCAGTCCTTTGGTGACTCTGATGCCCTCGTTTCTCTTTCAGTAAACTGTTGAAGAACGTGTGTTTAAGCACCATTCGAAAAAAACAACAATATGTCATCATCAACACATAAAGCTGAAAATAGAGACAAATGGCAAATTGAGGGGAAAATGCAACATAGCATTTCTTAGTAAGGCCATTTGTCCACCAGCTTCAGATCACTGGAAATCTACTGGAAACACAGAAATTCATTCTTCCAAAAGCTATTGGAAGGTGATGACAGTGACAAGCCTTTTCTGACAAATCAGTCCAAAATTGCTGATAAATATTCAACAAGGTTGAGAGCTGGTGGTGCCAATTATTTTCATACTCATCAAACCACTCAGTGACACCCAATGGATGGGGGCACTCTAATTGTGGGAGAGATCGCGCTTATTTAGATACAAAATGATTTAATATATATTATAAGTGATTGCTAAAAACTATTTGAATCTTCCTTGTAAGGGCACAAGAATAACCAAACCATGCCAGCAAAATGCCCCCAGCAACATTATGAGCATTATGAAACTACTTCAAACCTTAATTGTTGGGGTCAAGGGTTGAGCTTTTCCTTTAATCTGTAACCCCACCGTATGTCTCTAAGTGAGAATATCAGCCTATCCAACAATACAGTCTGTGCCTATCTTATTTTGAGCCGTGTCTTTGATGAAGTTAAACCATCAGCTAGAGGATTAGCCAAGTCTCTCACATTTCAAAGAAAAATACACGCAACGGGGATACAACAGGTTCATATAAGGCACCATGTAACCTATGTGCAAGCGTGGGCTTGCATAACATAAAACCTGCTGCAAGAAATATTGTTAGGCAGGTAGAAGGGAGGAGAGGAGAGGAGAGGAGAGAGGAGAAGGAAGGCTTTATAGAGTTATACAGTAACAAGACTGAAATTCCCTCTCCAGCTGCTTGGGGCACATCTGTTGGAAATGTGCATGCTTATGTGGATGCACTGACACACACATATCTCTTTAAGTTTGTCGGACTGTGCAAATTTAAGATGATAGATGCCACGGGCTGTTTTTTTCTTCTTCTTTCTCTCTGTAGCCCCAGTCCAATCCATTACAGGCTGAACGTGAGATCAGCTCAACAACAAATGGGTGAGAGCTCTGTAGTCAAACTGCACTACATTTCTACAGTCTTTGAAGCATGTTTTCTAGTAGATCCTTCTACTGAAGTATAGTGACTGGCCAGGATAAACCTGCTTTGTCAACCTGTCCTGTTCTGATTTACCAGTTAGGTCAATTAATATGGATTACCTATGGAAGCTAATATGTACAGTAAACTGTCTCAGTACGAAAAAGTTCATCCAAGGCAATGGTTTAAACAAATAGAAAACTATTGCTGTGATTTTATTCATTTTTACTGAAGATATAAATACAGAATATTACTAAACACAGAAGTGCAACTGGGTACCTTCCGTCGGTGAGATGGCACTATAAAGAAGGTTTCGATTTCATGTTTTTGAAGGAAGGCGCTCCTTTCATGGCCGTTTCCAGGCTCCACCTCATAGTCTCCGTTTAGGCACTCGAGTGTAGATCTGGTAATGTGAACTTTCCTGTGGTACAGATAAGGGAAGCAGAGCAAATATTAAAACAAGTCTTATAAGCAGAAGAGTCAAGAGCTAAAGGATGTGTTCACAATAACTTGTGAAATTCTGCTTTGGTGGGTCTTAATAAGATTCTTTGGGTAATTTGTTTGTAATGATACACACAATTGCATTGCCTGAAGTTTGTGGATGAATTGAATCTGCTTCTGTGCTTCTCTTTATTTCTTTGTCCAGTGGGGAAAATTCAACCATAAGGGTCTTCCCTGCAGTTGGCCTTGTTTCCTGATTTAGCTTAAATCACCGACTAATGCTTTAAAAACACAGGGTACAAGACTGATTCTAGAGCAAAAAATATTAACACCTTATTTGCTAGAAATCACTTAATGTGTCAAGATGTTTTTTCCAGGGTACCATAACAGAGCGGAGACAAATAGTCTGAAGCTGTTCAGGCTTGTATGCTTTTAAAATGCTGAGTACTGACCCAGGTAGTCCTCCAGCTTCCATCACATTGGCCAGAGTCACATCATTTGACCACACATCATACTGCCATTTCCTAAGACCCAGCACTCCACACAACACTCGACCGGTATGCAAGCCCACGCGCATGTTTAGGTTGACTTCTGTGGCCTCTGCTACTGACCTGTACAGACCAAAAACATGGAGAGTCTCAGTGAGGTAATATGGCAGGGCAATATCTATATATTTTTATCTATATCCAGAGTTGGGTCAGATTACTTTAAAAAATAATTAATAACCTAATCCACTGGATTTAAAACAATGTGTATTTTAATCTGAATACTTTTAAATGATATCTGGACCATTTCAATATCAAACACTTCCATAATTTTTAACTGTCATCTTTTAAATTGGCAAATAATGTGACTACATTTTTCCCAACTGTCCAACTCTGTCTAAATCGAATAGTTTGCCTATAATTTGGCAGAGCATTAAAAACAGCACAAAAAACACAGTGTTACAATAACAATGTATTACATGTATGTATGACTGTATATGAACACATATAGTAATTAAATAAGAAGTTTACATCAACTAATTTGCCAACTCTTTCATGGTTTGAAATGTACACCCGGCGCTGATTTCATTCATTCAGCAAACGATCTCATTAACATTAAGATCACAAATAATTGAGGTCGAATGCAGGTGATATACACATCCAAAATTAAGAATCTGTTTCCACAAATGTCCTTTATAAATAGATATAACAATCTGTCACGATGTCTTCAAGCACCAGAAGCTGTTCAGAAATGCTCTGCTCTGCTCTAACGTACCAAAATAGACCGAGAACAAAAAGACTGAAAAGCTGGGCATTTTTATTTAATCAGTGTTGGTGGAGAAATCTGATCTTAATCTTAATTAACAGACTTACAGTCAAATCGTGAAAAGCATCTGATGTAATCTTCTGGAGCTTCTCCGTCTCTAACTTTCTTGTGCATCTTTTTTCACTTCCAAACTATACAAAGAAAACAGCGACTTTCTAATTAAATTTAAAAAAAAAAAGAAAAACATAGCCTATTACTTCCCCCCTAAAGCTCCCCCCTCCCGACTTTGAACACTGCTGTTTTTTTGAAGACTTTTGCGTCAGAGTTTGGAAGGGGTAAATGTGTTCTCGGGTCACACATGAAAACCACAGGCATAAGAGACTCACGTTATGGTGTCAATCATATCGAGACCCATTTCTACACAGCAGTGGGCGTGGTCGGTCTTGGGTTGTGTCAGTCCAGACACACAGTAGTAACAATCTCCCAGGATCTTAATCCTGCGACAGTGGTTCTCCTGTCAGTCACAGAGACAATTTAAGGAGAATTTTTAAGAAAAGAAATCACCCTTACTTACACATTCAAACTGATGCTACAGCAGTTTTAAACGTATACAAAAAATAGTAATTAGTCATGTTGACAAAAAATACACATTAAAAAGCAACTTTCCTCCAGTTTAATCAAAGTCACACGAGAGGCATCTAAGAGCAGGGATGCTTTGATTGAAACATCCTGTCATTCAAATATAATTTTTCCCTTACACTGATTAATGTGATCCATACCCAGCAGTTTAATTTGTAAGTGTAGCTTCAGGCTGCTCGGTTTCCAAGATTGATTAGGTTCATGATGCAGGTGGTTTCAGACTTGCAGACTTGCAATGGTAACATCGTTAATATAAGATTTGAGTACATTTAAATTATGTCAAAATACACTATCACTCAGTATGTGATCACATTACAGTTATAAAAGCTCTGCCTTTTTTTTAAATATCACATTATTTAAACAATTCATTACAGAAACTCCTTGTTAACTCAGGCCTGCAATGCCTCTAACTTGTTCTTAAGTGTCTTTGACCATTTCAAAGGTGCGCTGCATGGTGAGAAGGTCAAAAAACAACTAAATAGTGAAGTTGAGGCTTTAAAACAGAACTTCACAAGACAAAAGTTGATGTTTTGGTGGCTCTATATCTTTTTTGAGATGCTTAGCAGCTTTTAGTTTTCTCCCCTCTATTTTAACCTCTGTGCTATTGAGAGAAACTGCCTGATGCTCATTCAGTATCGACACCACCTATGGTCCTGCAACTTAAATTAGAGAGCTTGTCACGAAAGTGACATGGTCGTGCAAATCATACATTAAAATCTAAAAGCTGATTGTGAAGACGGGATGAGACTGACTGTGCGGTGTATACGAGACAGTTCTGTGGCCAAACAAATCAATAGACTGCGACAGAAAGATATTTGCGCTTCTTTATCGGTATCTCATTAAAAATGTTAAAAATATGGACTCGTACTAAAAATGGCTCCCACAATGCTGTGATATATTAAAGGATCAGTTTCATTTTAGGGAATAAGGTGAGTCACTCTCTACTCACTCTCACTCTTTAGACACAATGAGCAGTGGCATGAAAAAAAAAAACAGCTTACAAATATAACCCATTATTACAGGATATGAGCAACAGGCATTCATTTTACCAGGGAGACCAGGTTACCGTGGGTGCCTTCTCATAACCCTTCATTGTTTCCATGGAGGTAATGGGATTGCTGGCCATGCATGTGAAGAGCACAAAGACTCATAATTATGCACATCGGTGGGCACATGACAAGACGGGTGCTCTATTTTTAACATGGGAGCCATGTGAAATTCGGCAAGATAGCCAGGGCTCGTTAGCAGCTGCTCTTTGTCTTGTGCAAGTTTACCTGCTGTGGTCATGCTTTTTAAGTACTCAGTGGCATGGCGGCTGTTTGTACAAAATATATTCTTAGACACAAACCTACAAAAGACCGAGTGTTATGCAGCAGCAGTTTGCTGAGCGGCTCTTGGCAGTTTTGCTCTGTGAAAGACATTTTCTCTTAAATTAAAGCCCCATATATAGAACTAAAGATCAAAAGAATACCAACTAATTTGTATGAGGATTACAATTTTAAATAGCCTATTTTAAATAGATACGAAAATAAAATGACATTATTGTGCTACATAACATGTATAGCTTTCTAAATTTGGTCTGTTTTTATCTGCCTTCCTGGTTTCTTTTTTTGCACTGCAATAAACCTTTGCTGCCTTGGTCGCTCTTGACACTTGATATAGTTGATTAAGAAAAGCATGAATTTACTACAGCAACTATGAAAGAAGCATGATCTAGCCTTTACTGGACTCTTGAAACTTTCAACAAAAAAATTGTTTTTTTGAATCCTAGCATATTCCCTTCTACAGCGACTAATTCTATTCTTTTTAAATGATAAATATAGCATTATACTAGACACTCTCTGTTGTGCCGTCTCCTAACATCTGTACATATTTCCAAAACTTGAACCAAAAATATCAAAGTTGGATGAATCGCTCCAAGATTTGCTGCCATTGATTTTCAGTCCAGCTCTTGTATGAGCTGGGATTCCTTTTCTCCTTGTTTCCCTTCCTTAAGGATGACTTCAAACAGCCACGTTTCAATTGAGACCATTTCTGATTAGGACTCAACAAACAGTAGCACTCAACTTGTTCAGTTTCCCCAAATCTTTTTAGATTTGAAAGGCAATGACATTTATTTGACAATAAGTCAAATGCATGGAGCTCTCTTTTTAGGCAGTTCTAAATTTAAATCTGTAAACAAACAAAAGGAGAGGCTGCTAGTAACAGAGTGCCTAAAGATTTAAAGCTAGTTTGTGGCCATGCTGTCTTCTTTGTTTTGCCACAACACTGGTTCATTTATGTGTTAGCTTTTGTGTTTGTGTGTGAATGAAATGTGGCTTAAAAATAAAAATCATCTGAAAATGAGTAGCGAAAGCAGCCTTAGAAGCCTCCTTGGAAGGAAACTATTAGAAATAAGAAATTAGAGGTGACTCAAGACTTTTGCACAGCACTGTAAAGACTCCCACTAAGAACTTTTAAAAAAAAAAAAAAAAAATTGTAACAGAGCCACTGAGGTCTCTTCAGCCTAACTCTGGGCAAAGTGGAGCAATAACAGATGGGGCTATAGTGAGACACAGCTGAAGCTACAGGAAACAGGGGAAAGCCCCGGTGCTTACAGTGTCTCCTACTTTGTACTTTTCCTGTGCTAAGCTGCAGTGTGAGGGCTTAGGATCTGATTCAGACCCAAGCAGGATTACCAGTGTCATATGACTGAAGCATTGTGGGCAATCTGGGTGGTCATCAGTGTAACTAGTTACAGAACATTAGGTAGATTTTGACACTTACTTCAATTTATAAAGAAAGAAAAGCAGTTTTAAGACAACCTTTTTTGCCATGTCTTAATGTGATTAGGATTTATACTGAGCACTGCAATCAGAACTATTGTGTGGTAGTATTAGCAGGAATGTAAATTAGCACACATTTCAGTCTACACAGACAAAGGGAAGGAGAGACACAAATACAGGGAAGCGGAACATTCAATAAATGATTATGAAGCAAAAAGATGAGCCAGCTCATCTCTTAATTTCCTACAAGTCCCTAAAGAGCAGTACACACAGTTCTTTGCCTCTGGTACGAAGACAAATATCACTGCTGTGTTGATGAGCTAAAGATTCCATTCCTGCAACTTTTGGGGGCTGAAAGGACATAAGACAAATGCCCCTCCCCACACGTGTTCCTGAATGTGCCCTGTGGTTGTTCATATTGGTAGTTGCAATGTTTTTGCAGCAGCTAATTAGAAGTAGTCAAACAGTTTTATGAATTTTACATAAGGCCATTACATATGTTCCTTTTTTTGGCTTATAAAGTTTTTCATGTCAACATTTCATCAATACAGGGAGTGATTTATTACAGGGGTAACTCAATATTTCCCCTGCCCGATTAATGCTTTTCCATCTCCTTCATATGCGTGGATGTTTCCCTTTTAGCCACCAGCTCTTTTAATGATTGGATTTAATTTCTGTGCAACAACAAATGAAAAATATATCAACACTTCCTCCTCCCAACTCAGCCTTGTGGGCTGGAGTGAGTGGGCATAAAAAAGAAATCTATTAATGTAGATGTGAAGCATTTAACAGATATGGCAAATACCAACTGTTTGGCGTTTCAGGACTGGTTTATTTTCAAAGATGGCATTGGTGTTATTGAATGTTTGATCAGAATTGGAAACACACACGTTTTTCTTTAATTAACATAAAGAAATTGGTGAAAATGTATCTGAGTTGAAGCTAATGTCGTTTTGGACACTAAGTCTCGTGCAGCATTTTAAGACCAACATTAAGACCAGTCTCATAGGATATCAGTTATTTTGAGGAAAACAACATTCATTGAAGTATCGTTACAAAAAATGTAAGAGCCATTATATATGGGACTAAATTAAAATCCAGCTCACAGGATGCTACATTTATTTTGTAGCACACAGCCTCCTTTTATTTGACCTACCTAATTCATTTGCTTCTTTTTGCTTTCTGTCTGGTCTTAGGTCAAAATGATAGCAAGAGAGCTACTTTCAGTTGCTTATTCAAGGGAAGAGGTCACCACAGCAGGCAGGTTGGCATGTTTGATTTGGCTGGCTCTTTTTTCACACTAAATAACCTCACTGATCCGACCCCGACAGATTCGTGTCTCCTCCTGGCACTGAACCAGGGATATTTTGCTTGTTAAACAAATGTGTAAACTAGTACAATACGATCCGTGTATGATCCTGGAGAGTAGAAAAACATTTCTATAAGTGGTATTGCTTTGTTTAAAACCAGAGATAATGAGACAACAGAAAGATTCATTATAGACAGTGTGAGAAAAATCATAAAACCTCACAAAATCTCAGCTTCATCCTGCTACATTTTGACCCTCCTGTTAAATCTACACCATGCTGTGTTTCAGGTATTATGTAAGTTTAGCTTTTGTTAAAACTGCAATAGAAACCTTAAATGTGATTTTTTTTCTTGAAACAGAAACACTTTTTCCCACTTTCTCCTAGTCAAGAGCCCACGCTGGCTTGTTTGGTTTGGGTTTAGCGCACAGGAGTCTGAAGGAAGCAGCAGGACTTGACAGCAATCTTTGCATCTGCTCATGGGACAAACCCAAACAGTGTTATTTAATTGTGTCTACACCCAGATTTTCCGTTCTGGCAGGCAGCTGTCATCATGTGGGCAGTGACAAGTTCCTGTGCTCCATTTAAGAATAATCCAGTTTTTGGCTAATATTTTATTCAGTTGTATTTGGCTCATACTAACTGGCGTACAGACAGCTTTTCTAAAGTTATTTTTTTCAGAAAATAACAGGTTTTGAGGTATGTTATTGTTGCATCTTAGGTTACGCATGCTTAGGTGAGTCATCACTTGCAGATATTCTACTACAACTCAACTAGGAAATAATCGTACTGCCACTTGTTTGTCAGCTAGGTGAACTGCTATCCTCTTAAAATCATAATCAATCATTCAAATCATATGCATTCATGACCTGCACATGCAGAAAAGGGTTATTTTATAAGCTCTAACAGTCATGTATGAGTGAATGAAAAGGAACCTATAACTTGTCAAGGAAGTAAGAGACAGAAGATAGATACATCACTGAGCCATCCTAAAAATGGAAACATGAAAGAGGAAGAGAGTGCGGAGAACCACGGGGCATAAAAGACAGAGTTGAGAGAAGTAGGCTGCTGCATGTCAATCAAAAAGCTGAGAAACAAGGAGCGGAGGAGTCTGAAAGCTGTGATGCAGGGAGGTGTTGCAAGAGGAGAGAAAAGGGAGACAAGAATGAAAAGCTTTGTGAAACTTTGTCGCAGAAACAGCCACGACACACACACGCATACGGGCACAAAAGCTCAACCAGTACAGAGCTATTAATGTTATATGGCACCCATAACAACCATAAATTAATCTCAGTTCCTCTCACAGTTGAAACTGTTGTTTTGGGTGCTGGACAGATTGCTGGAAACTCAGCCAGGGAGAGGAAGTGTTTATAGAGTGAGAGGGGGGCTCAAGAAGACCATTTGGTGTGCCAAATGACATTAGTGTCTTTGAAATAAATGTCCCTCATCTCTTCATATCCTTAAAAAACAACCACTGCAAATGTCAATCTTTCTGTTTCTCTCTCTATATTTTTTCTATATTATTTGTAAAACATCTAGCTACGTTTAGATGATTTCTACAGTACAGTAAATCTGATCACTTCAGCTATGTATGGAATAATAATCTGGGTGTCAATCGTGTGTTGTATTTTCATAGCTTCAGCAAACACCAAGTCTGAGTAACGATAAGGTTTCAAAGCCTTCCTGAGATGCGCTCCTTGTGTTTGGTCTCAGTGGTAGTCAGCCTGGTGGTGAAGAGTTATAATTACTCCCAGCTTGTGCTCATGTGGGTGGTGGGAATCAAACAGCAAATACTGATCAGTGTGAGTGGGTTTCCTGTAAACTTCAATTTTCAAGCTACCCCCCTACCCCCTCCAACAGACACACCAACTTAATATGACACAGCGCAAGAAATACAGGCTTTGTCTCTTAAAAAAATAGGGGACAGGAGCATAAAATATATGTTATGCTCCTGTCAGCCCAGCGAAGAATCACACCTTTAAAGATCTGATGACGTGTTATTGGCACGCGTACTGTAACAGATGAGCTCGCTAAGAGGCGAATATCTGGTAGCGTCATAAAATAGACAGGTCACAGAATTCTGCACAAGACTACAGCTGAGACATAAACCTGACCTTGACCTGTAGCTTCAAGAGCTGCTCCAGTCAAACCGTCAAATTTAAAATGAAAATCTGGACCTGATCCAAGACCTGAAGCTTTAAAAAAAAATAAATTATTTATTACTACTATTAACTTGTGCGACAACACATGTACTGTATTTTCTTACCATCTGGGCAATGCTTATTTACATGCAGCCCTTGGTACAGTATGAAGGGACCCAGACCACTGTCACAGTTATAGGTGTTGGTTGTAGACTCAGAGAAAACTGTCACCGGTGTCTTGGCATTATTAGGCCTCACATTCGGATTTTCTCCTTTATGTTTTTGTTCAGCCTCACTGTTCTCGTCACCCTTTATCCAGCAAGAAGCAAGCATCAAGAAAAATTAATGCCACTGTGGTCAACCTGTGCCTTAAACCTGCATTCTGGACCACCAGGTGGCGATAGCTGTGGTTTCAAAAAGACTTCTGGTTCTATAGAAGGCTATAGGTTTCTGTCTTAACCTCTGTAAACACTTTCCGGATGAGTTAATGGGCTCAGTCAGTCTTTTTAGGTAATACTGAATAAAAACAAAAGTTTAATTTGTAAATACTAACCATACTGTGTTTTAAAATGGAGGATTTCCTGTGGTGTGCTCGCTAGCTAGTGAATTGTGATTGACAGGTCATAATCCAATGAATGAAACCACTTTGACAGTCAGACTTTTTTTGTCACACCTGGTTTTTTGAAACCAAGATGGCTTCAAAGGGTTCAAAACAAAACTTCAGAAACTAATGGGTGATTCATGGTAGGTACGTCCACCTTTGATATCGACAGACATACATATAAAAGTCCATCCCAATCAAATTACACTAAAGAGTATAGCCTCCAGTTGTTTAAAAAAATTAAATGATCAATTTTGACATTTAATTCATCACCGAGCAGCTGGCCGGGGGCTCTCGTTGTGCATGTTCTTCCCCATGTCTGTGTGGGTTCTCTCCAGGGACTATGACTTCTGCCCACAATCTAAAAACATGTTGGTAAATCCAAATTGGACCTAAGTGTGAAGTGGATCTTGAATGGTTGTGTATTTCTATGCACTACCCCTGCAGAATGGTGACCAGTCCTGTGTGCACCCCACCCATCAACCTGCGACAGGTGGGATGGGCTCCAGCCAGACCACCGCCCTGAATTAGACAAATGGAAGCAAATCGATGCTTAATGTAATTTTTTTATGTAATTTTTTTTTTCATGGTGATGCACCAATGAAAGCACCAAACAGGCGTGCCACTCCCTATCACGTTTTCTGAGAAAACAATTCTCACCGCTATCGTCTTTAATTACACTCTCTTTCTAGCAGAGATATCCCATTACTTCTGTATATGTTAGTCCTAAATAATCTTAAGACATAGTTCAAAAGTGGTGAAAAAGCTGACATGCTGAAATTTTATAGTATTTCTTTCACTCTAATGCTTATGTGGTATAAAAATTCAGACTCCCAAGCTCCCTCTGGTTAAAAGGAGATGAAACTACAGTTAGTATAGGCATTCTCATAAAGCGTGCTTCAGATTTGATGCCTTATTTCCGTTTGTGTTGAGAATTTTTGAGAGAAGAGAGAAGACTTGGTCTGCTACATCCACAGCACTTTAGGAGAACGCTGTGTTCCTGGCCCACTTCCCGTGCAGCTTGACAAGTCCAAAGCGTGGACAGGTGGTGTGGGGATGGTGCTGGAATGGTATTATGAGATGATGCCTGGTGGCCATGTGGCATCGCCCGCTCTTCGTATGGAGCAAGAGGAGTCTGCGTGCCCACAGTGACCACAGCTATGAGTCACTGGCTTTGCCACTTCCTGCCAAAGTCGATCAATACGAGCGAGGTTTTGGGTCAGGGCATTTGATGACAAGCTTCGTGGCTGGGGACAACCTTTCGGTGTAACATCAGGCTCCCAGGAAGTGGCCAAAAGATGATCAGCCCATTCACGTTATTTGTAAGTAAATGAGTGAGACAGCAAAACTCACAACAGCAATAAAACTGGCATCTTCTAGATATAGAATGTAGAAATAACTTCTTCTAGCCAAAAATCTGCGAGTGATGAAAATGTATCTGCCACGTCGTTTCAAGTTGGTATGTTTTAGAACAAGGAATCACTTTGTTAATAAAATAGCAGAGTAACAGCAACTTTCCATGGGATGAAAACAGAAATTCAAACCAACAATAATAAGGGAAACTAACTGAACACAGATTAATTAGAAAGGCGATGACATTTATTTGACAATATGTCAAATGCATGGAGCTCTCATTTTAGGCAGTTCTAAATTTAAATCTGTAAACAAACAAGTTAAAAATACAAGCTCTCAACACAGCCAAGTAAAACCTTCTATGAAAGCAAAAAAGGGGTTGGTTGTAATCCCGTGGATTAATGGATTTGACAAGGGTATGTGGCTAGTGTAAGTAACAGAGGCCAGATTATATGTTACTAAGGTTGTGGCAGGGTGATCTGCAGGGGCTCAACCTCCTCACCAAACATCCAGTATTTTTAACCAAATTTCCATGACAGGTGATGGGGTGATATCATACCTTTTTGGAAGCATGTGTTCAGAGTATGCACAGTGTTTTGATTAAAAGATTTTGTGCTGATGGTGTCAAATAGGAAAGCAAATAGATTAACTGTGGCAGTAAAACTTAATGACAAAAGCCGAGCGGATTTTCAGCACCAAAATCAAAAAGAGTGAAATATCGACAGATGGGTTGGCTGAAACCTTTTTCACATGCAAACCAAGAGCAACTGTGGCCAGTACAACTTTGCTCTTAAAATCATTCATTTTGTTCATTCAAACAACCAGAGAGGATGCAAGATTTAGCCCTGGGTAAATCTGGCTCAGATTAAAGAGGTCTGTCAACTCTTCCTCAAAATGAAGCACTGGATAATCATATTAAGCATCATATGGGCTTCCAATATTCATAGTGACATCATGCTAAGCTAGTGGAATGTGCCAACAGCTTGTGGCCAAAGCATTACACACACACACACACACACATACGCACAAAAACCCCACATGCTCACAACAATACACTATAGTTGTGTCGTGTTGCGGCGAAAGTGTGCACACAGAGAAAAAGCCACTTTGTAACAATGTCAACAGTGGCTGCAAGTGAGGGATATGTCTTCAAGGAAGGGAGACTGACTCACCGTGGCAAGCTCATCAAATTTTCCAAACAGTTCATTTAATAGTTTAACCAGTTCCTGGGCTGTACACTGAGAGGCCAGGCTGGTGAAGCCAACAATATCTGCAAACAGGATGCTGTAAAAGACAAAGGAAAGAACAATCTGAGTCAATGTAGGAAATTAATCACAGCAAACTGCATCAATGAAACAAGAATAATAGCCTGGTCAGATTAGCTGCAAGAAATGTGCTTAAAATGACTTTTTAAAATCAGTTTGAGTATTGCTTTGGAATGATGCAAGCAACATTTAAATTAATTAAGTCTAGATAGATATACAGAGATAGATAGATACATAGATAGATAAATAGAGAGAGAGAGCCTGCCCCATTCTCTAACTGACTGGCAGCGCAGTCAAGCAGAGCCACTCAAAATAGAAGCAAGAGCATTCTCACGAGGATCACAGAGGAGACATTCTAGGATATAATGCAGCCATCAAGAGTACTGGTATTCCCTTTTGACAGGCTGCATATAGGACTGAAAGTGCCTGAACTGACATGTCTGGCATTTGTTTTACCCAAAATAAGCCATCTAAATTTCACTTGCTCTTCTGGCATTGTCAGTGAATTGGAATAACCTTCCTGAGGTCAGCTGATTCAGTAGCTCATTTTAAATGTATGCTGAAAACACATTTGGGTGTTTTTGTGTGGATTTTATTTAAAATGTGAATCAGATTTAAACAGTTTTCTAAAGAAATCAAATACAAATTATTATATCAATATTATGTTATTAGGGTGATGCCTTTCTGTGTGCAGTTTGTTTGTTCTCCCTGTGCCTGACTTTTTTTCTTTTTCGTGATTCTGTCGAGTGTGAATTGGATCTTTAATGGCTGTCTGTCTCCCTGTGTTGTCCACCTATCCAAGGCATTTCCTGCCTCTCACCCCATGACTGGCCAGACCACATAATAGAGTGTCATAGAGGTCACCTAGTGAGTTATAGTGCCAGTGGATTAGAGGCCCAGAGGTTTTTTTGATGCTATTTTAATTTTATTTGACAAAAACACTCCATTCTAAACTCATTTTTATTGTTTGCCAATTTATTAAAAAAAACTTGCTTGGTGGGGGTGAAATTTCTTTTTTGCATTTGAATTAATGCATGCCAGATACAGTCTGAAAACCAGTGAGCCAGGGCGAGACTAATAATGTCAGTCGTTGCTTTTTCTGCCCTTTGCGTGGTTTGCGACCTAACCACAACTATAATTCCACCTGTGTTTTAATCATCGAGTAGTCTAATCCTGATTTTTGGCACCACAACTGGACCCAGAAAAGAGAGACAGCTTACTTTACTTAGCTGGCCCAGTCTTTATCTAATCCTGGACAATAATAACACTGAACAGGTAAAATGTGAGAGGAGTCATGAAAGATAGCACTTGTTTCCATAGTGTAAGGTAGTTAGCATAGCCTACTTGTTTTGACTTTGTAAGTGAGATACAAGCTTAATAGCCTGATGGTTTAGATGGATGGTTCAGGTTAAAACCAGCCCTGCTGCCCCGTTGGTTAAAAAAGAAAAAACGCAAAATATTCTGTATAACACTATAGTAGTTCAAATGGTAGGTCCATCCTGTGTGTATAGGCAAAACGTCCCCTGTCAGAGAACGGACATAGAATTATTTCAGATTATATTTTTGTTTTCCAAAAGTGTGAAGAGTTTAACATCCTGTTGTGCACATTAATACTTTAATACAGCTTGAGCAGATACCCCAAAGAACTCTGTGATGAAAAGTGTTCGCAATGAGTTCTATGTGGCAGTGAAGAGTGTGAACTCGATCAGTCACCAAATACTAACTGTCCCGAACAACCAGCATGTCTGCATCTCATACTGATGGCAGACTGTTGCTTTCATGTAGGCTTGAGTTTTCACAAAGTGACAGAGTGCTGGATCTCTGAGAGAAGAGAGCTGCTAAATGTCATCTTGCTGTCTCACAGATGTCACCATAATGAGGGGCAGCGGACTCAGTTTGTGTTACTGTTTTAATTGGCAACCATCTGGGGCTGACAAATACTTGCAATGTTAAATACCATGTTAGTGTAAACACTTCAACTTGAATGGACTAAAACTCTAAAGAGAACTAAACTGAGTAAAGTGCAGGTTTGAGTATCAGTTACATTTATTCTAGATTTGTAATCACATTAGAATAAATATCTACTGGTTACAGTAGATGCTAATGCTAAAATATAATGATTGTTGTGATCCACGAATTTTCAGCTTTTCTGTTTTACAAAAAGGAAGAACAAAATAATAGAAGACATTATGATTATTTTTTCTTGTCATTTACTAACATGGCTGAACATAAATAAGTTGAATGCTATGCTTGATTCATTTCCCAGTCAAGTGTGTTGGCACAAATTTGGATATAAAACATGTTTTTATTATGATATTTGCCTGATAAAGGCAAATGACTAGCTGATTGTTGTGTTTGTGAATTTCCAAATACATACATAGCCAACAGGTAATTTGCAGAAAGCCCTCTAGTGGACAAACTATGCAGTGAAGGGTGTTTCTCCCATCTCTTCACTACTTTTAAAATGTTCATGCATCAACCATGATTATATATATATATATATATGGTGTTTTTTTCTGAATACTTTCATCACGTTTACTTAGGACAGCGGTAGCAAGCACTCTCTGCTTACGACCAAAAAATTAAAAAACAAAACAAAAACACCCCTTTTGTGTTGGTGGAAAAATGTTTGTTGTTAAACTCCAGAAATAGAATGAAGGTGAGTTTTATTAACCCTCTGTGTGCCGCACCTCCAAATTACATGACTGATTTAAGCTGACA